GCAACACTCAGACACTTGCAACACTGTATTGTAAAGTCAGCAACACTGTATTGTAAAGTCAGCAACACTCAGACACTTGCAACACTGTATTGCAAAGTCAGCAACACTCAGACACTTGCAACACTGTAGTGCAAAGTCAGCAACACTGTATTGCAAAGTCAGCAACACTCAGACACTTGCAACACTGTATTGTAAAGTCAGCAACACTCAAGACACTTGCAACACTGTATTGTAAAGTCAGCAACACTCAAGACACTTGCAACACTGTATTGTAAAGTCAGCAACACTCAAGACACTTGCAACACTGTATTGCAAAGTCAGCAACACTGTATTGCAAAGTCAGCAACACTGTATTGCAAAGTCTGCAACACTGTATTGTAAAGTCAGCAACACTGTATTGTAAAGTCAGCAACACTCAGACACTTGCAACACTGTATTGTAAAGTCAGCAACACTGTATTGCAAAGTCTGCAACACTCGGACACTTGCAACACTGTATTGCGAGGTCAGCAACACTCGGACACTTGCAACACTGTATTGCGAGGTCAGCAACACTCGGACACTTGCAACACTGTATTGCGAGGTCAGCAACATATTAGCCATCTTAATAAACTCTTAAAAATCCACGAACTTCCAATAAGTTATTCCAAACAAATTGTTCAAAGAAGGAAAAGTTAAAAACTGATATTGGAATATTTTAATGTTGAACAGACGATGTTAAGATAACACATGCTGCTCTGGTGATAACATATGCTGTTCTGGTGATAACATATGCTGTTCTGGTGATAACACATGCTGGTATGGTGATAACATATGCTGTTCTGGTGATAGCATATGCTGTTCTGGTGATAACATATGCTGCTCTGGTGATAACATGTGCTGTTCTGGTGATAACATGTGCTGTTCTGGTGATAACGCATGCTGGTATGGTGATAACATATGCTGTTCTGGTGATAACATGTGCTGTTCTGGTGATAACATGTGCTGTTCTGGTGATAACATGTGCTGTTCTGGTGATAACATATGCTGTTTTGGTGATAACATATGCTGTTCTGGTGATAACATATGCTGTTCTGGTGATAACATATGCTGTTCTGGTGATAACATATGCTGTTCTGGTGATAACATATGCTGTTCTGGTGATAACATATGCTGTTCTGGTGATAACATGTGCTGTTCTGGTGATAACATATGCTGTTCTGGTGATAACATATGCTGTTCTGGTGATAACATATGCTGTTCTGGTGATAACATATGCTGTTCTGGTGATAACATATGCTGTTTTGGTGATAACATATGCTGTTCTGGTGATAACATATGCTGTTTTGGTGATAACATATGCTGTTCTGGTGATAACATATGCTGTTCTGGTGATAACATATGCTGTTCTGGTGATAACATATGCTGTTCTGGTGATAACATATGCTGTTTTGGTGATAACATATGCTGTTCTGGTGATAACATATGCTGTTTTGGTGATAACATATGCTGTTCTGGTGATAACATATGCTGTTTTGGTGATAACACATGCTGTTCTGGTGATAACATGCTGTTTTGGTGCTAAGATAACACATGCTGTTCTGGCGATAAGATAACAGTGATTACTCCACACTGGTGTTAAGATAACAGGGAGCACACCACACTGGTGCCAAGATAACAGTGGTCTCACCACACTGGTGCTAAGATAACAGTGATCTCACCACTGGTGCTAAGATAACTGATCACACCACACTGGTGCCAAGATAACAGTGATCACACCACACTGGTGCTAAGATAACTGATTACACCACACTGGTGCCAAGATAACTGATCACACCACACTGGTGCTAAGATAACTGATTACACCACACGGGTGCCAAGATAACAGTGATCACACCACACTGGTGCCAAGATAACAGTGATCACACCACACTGGTGCCAAGATAACAGTGATCACACCACACTGGTGCCAAGATAACAGTGATCACACCACACTGGTGCCAAGATAACACAGAAAAGATCAGGGCATACTCGTACGTCTGGCGCTGCAACCTGTGGCTGCCCCGCGCTACACCGGAAGCGAAATTGAGTAGCGATGATTGTACTGATTGGCTGAGCCGTAGGTACACACGCACGCACACACACGCGCGCGCACACGCACGCACACACACACACACACACACACACACACACACACACACACACACACACACACACACACACACACACACACACACACACACACACACACGGTTGAGAGGCGGGACCAAAGAGCCAGAGCTCAACCCCCGCAAGCACAATTAGGTGAGTACAATTAGGTGAGTACACACACACACACACACACACACACACACACACACACACACACACACACACACACACACAAATCTTCGGATATTACCGAGAAATGAACAGAATCATTTCACTAATCATCTGAGCCAGCGTCAGACCCAAACGTTCAGAAGCATGGGTGGCGGCGGGGAAGGGGGGGGGGGACGGGGCAATGCCTGAAACCCTGACTGGGCTTCTGTGGAAGCCTCAGGACCCCTAGACTCCTAGAGGATTCAGTGGAATCCCAGGTTGCATTAATTTTGACCATGTGGAGGTGTAGTGGTGTAGAGTGTGTGCTTGGGAGTACCAAATACTCCCCTAGTTGTGCTTGCGGGGGTTGAGCTCTGGCTCTTTGGTCCCGCCTCTCAACTGTCAGTCAACTGATGTACAGTTTCCTGAGCCTACTTGGGTCTACACTTGAAGCTGTGTATGGAGTCAGCCTCCACCACATCACTGCCTAATGCATTCCATTTGTCAACTATTCTGACACTGAAAACGTTCTTTCAAAATGTCTCTGTGGTTCATTTGGCTCCAAGTTTCCATCTGTGACCCTTTGTTCGTGTACCACCCGTGCTAAATAATTATATTTTTTATCTACCCTGTAAATTCCTCTGAGAATTTTATAAGTGGTGATCATGTCTCCCCTAACTCTTCTATCTTCCAGTGTCGTGAAGTTTAGTTTCAGGAGCCTTTCCTCATAGCTCATGCCTCTCAGCTTGGAGAATAGTCTGGTGGCATACCTCTGAACATTTGTCTAACTTTGTTATGTTGGACCATGTATGGACTCCACGCTGGAGCCGCATACTCCAGTACTGGTCTGAGATATGAGGTATACAAGGTTCTGAATTCCTTACCCAAGCTTCTTAAGGCAGTTCTTATGTTTGCCAGCCTTGCATATGCCGCTGATGATAGCCTTTTGATGTGGACTTCAAGGAATAGGTCTGACATGATATCAACCCCCAGGTCTTTATTCCTGATTACTGAAGGATTACATCTCCCAGCTAATTACCTTGTGTTTGGCCTCTTGTTCCGTATACCTATCTTATAACTTTGCACTAGCTTGAGTTAAACTCTAATAGCCATTTATTGAACCATTCCTTCACTCTGTTCAGGTCATCTTATTATCTCTTGCTGTCCTCCTGTGCCTTAATCTTTCTCGTAAGTTTAGCATCGTCACCAAACAATGAGAGGAATGAACCTGTGATTATTTACGTATATCAGAAACAGGATAAGCCCGAGTACAGAACCCTGTGGAACTCAGCTGGTGACATCACCCCATTTTGAGGTCTCCCCCCTCACACTAACTCTCTATTTCCTGTTGATTAGGTACTCCTTTATATCCACGGGAATATGTGCGGGTTCGAATCCGCCTCACGGCTCCTACTGATTTCCACATTGATACAACAATCAATATTATTGTATCAATGTATCAATATTGATACATTGTCAATATTGATATCAATATTGTATCAATATCCACCCCCTCCCACCCCTCCATCCCCCCTCCCCACAAAGGATAGCCAGCGATATCTTACATTACGATATCCTTACCAAAGGCAGCCCTCTCCATTTCAACAAAGACTCCTTTTTTTTACAATTACAACAAAAAAGCTCTGCAATTACAGGAGGGAAAGAGCACAATCAGGGAAGGACTCGTGGGGAGAAGCAGAGAGTCCGACATTAATAAAAGATGGTGAGAGTTCTGCACCAGAATACTGGAGTTTACCCCCAGGAAGAAGATGGGCTTCTGTCTGGCCGCGTTGGACGACCTGTTGACCCGTTGTTCTGTTGTCCTGTTGATCCATTGTTCTGTTCTGTTGTCCCTTTGTTCTGTTGTCCTGTTGACCCGTTGTTCTGTTGACCCGTTGTTCAGTTGTCTTGTTGACCCGTTGTTCTGTTGTCCTGTTGACCCATTGTTCTGTTCTGTTGACCCGTTGTTCTGTTGTCCCGTTGTTCTGTTGTCCTGTTGACCCGTTGTTCTGTTGACCCGTTGTTCTGTTGTCCTGTTGACCCGTTGTTCTGTTGACCCGATGTTCTGTTGTCCTGTTGACCCGTTGTTCAGTTGTCCTGTTGACCCGTTGTTCTGTTGTCCTGTTGACCCGTTGTCCTGTTAACCCGTTGTCCTGTTGACCCGTTCTTCTGTTGACCCGTTATCCTGTTGACCCGTTGTTCTGTTGTCCTGTTGACCTGTTCTTCTGTTGACCCGTTATCCTGTTGACCCGTTGTTCTGTTGACCTTTTGCTCTGTTGTCCTGTTGACCCGTTGTTCTGTTGACCTTTTGCTTTGTTGTCCTGTTGACCCGTTGTTCTGTTATATTGATCCGTTCTGTTATGTTGACCCGTTGTTCTGTTATGTTGACCCGTTGTTCTGTTATGTTGACCCGTTGTTCTGTTGACCCGTTGTTCTGTTATGTTGACCCGTTGTTCTGTTATGTTGACCCGTTGTTCTGTTGACCTGTTGTTCTGTTGACCCGTTGTTCTGTTATGTTGACCCGTTGTCCTGTTGACCCGTTGTCCTGTTGACCCGTTGTTCTGTTGACCCGTTGTTCTGTTGACCCGTTATCCTGTTGACCCGTTGTTCTGTTGACCTTTTGCTCTGTTGTCCTCTTGCCCCAGTGTCCTGATGACCCGTTGTTCTGTTGCCCTGTTGACCCCTTGTTCTGTTGTCCTGCTGACCCGTTCTGTTGACCCGTTATCTTGTCAACACGTTGTCCTGTTGACCCGTTGTTCTGTTGTCCTGTTGACCCGTTGTTCTGTTATATTGACCCGTTCTCTTATGTTGACCTGTTGACCCGTTGTTCTGTTGACCCGTTGTTATGTTGACCCATTGTTCTGTTGTCCTGTTGATCCTTTGTTCTGTTATCCTATTGACCCGTTCTGTTATGTTGACCCGTTGTTCTGTTGTCCCGTTCTTCCTGTTGTCCTGTTGACTTCTCAGCTGCTGAGTGGTGAAAGTGCCAGGTATAGTCTTGACCACTAAGCCAGGTATAGTCTTGACCACTAAGCCAGGTATAGTCTTGACCACTAAGTCAGGTATAGTCTTGACCACTAAGTCAGGTATAGTCTTGACCACTAAGTCAGGTATAGTCTTGACCACTAAGTCAGGTATAGTCTTGACCACTAAGTCAGGTATAGTCTTGACCACTAAGTCAGGTATAGTCTTGACCACTAAGTCAGGTATAGTCTTGACCACTAAGTCAGGTATAGTCTTGACCACTAAGTCAGGTATAGTCTTGACCACTAAGTCAGGTATAGTCTTGACCACTAAGTCAGGTATAGTCTTGACCACTAAGTCAGGTATAGTCTTGACCACTAAGTCAGGTATAGTCTTGACCACTAAGTCAGGTACAGTCTTGACCACTAAGTGAGGTATAGTCTTGACCACTAAGTCAGGTATAGTCTTGACCACTAAGTCAGGTATAGTCTTGACCACTAAGTCAGGTATAGTCTTGACCACTAAGTCAGGTATAGTCTTGACCACTAAGTCAGGTATAGTCTTGACCACTAAGTCAGGTATAGTCTTGACCACTAAGTCAGGTATAGTCTTGACCACTAAGTCAGGTATAGTCTTGACCACTAAGTCAGGTATAGTCTTGACCGCTAAGTCAGGTATAGTCTTGACCGCTAAGCCAGGTATAGTCTTGACCGCTAAGTCAGGTATAGTCTTGACCACTAAGTCAGGTATAGTCTTGACCACTAAGTCAGGTATAGTCTTGACCACTAAGTCAGGTATAGTCTTGACCACTAAGTCAGGTATAGTCTTGACCACTAAGTCAGGTATAGTCTTGACCACTAAGTCAGGTATAGTCTTGACCACTAAGTCAGGTATAGTCTTGACCACTAAGTCAGGTATAGTCTTGACCACTAAGTCAGGTATAGTCTTGACCACTAAGTCAGGTACAGTCTTGACCACTAAGTGAGGTATAGTCTTGACCACTAAGTCAGGTATAGTCTTGACCACTAAGTCAGGTATAGTCTTGACCACTAAGTCAGGTATAGTCTTGACCACTAAGTCAGGTATAGTCTTGACCACTAAGTCAGGTATAGTCTTGACCACTAAGTCAGGTATAGTCTTGACCACTAAGTCAGGTATAGTCTTGACCACTAAGTCAGGTATAGTCTTGACCACTAAGTCAGGTATAGTCTTGACCACTAAGTCAGGTATAGTCTTGACCACTAAGCCAGGTATAGTCTTGACCACTAAGCCAGGTATAGTCTTGACCACTAAGCCAGGTATAGTCTTGACCACTAAGTCAGGTATAGTCTTGACCACTAAGCCAGGTATAGTCTTGACCACTAAGCCAGGTATAGTCTTGACCACTAAGCCAGGTATAGTCTTGACCACTAAGCCAGGTATAGTCTTGACCACTAAGCCAGGTATAGTCTTGACCACTAAGCCAGGTATAGTCTTGACCGCTAAGTAAAAGTTAAGTCTCATGGGCACAGCGTCTCACTTTGTAATAATTTAAAAGCGAGGAAGAATAGTGGTTGCTGGGGGCGTTGTAGGTAGTCCAGTGGTTGCTGGGGTCGTGGTAGGGAGTCCAGTGGTTGCTGGGGTCGTGGTAGGTAGTCCAGTGGTTGCTGGGGACGTGGTAGGTAGTCCAGTGGTTGCTGGGGGAGTATATCCTGCCTGGTCCCTAAGCCACAACCATTAAGCGCCACAGCCTGCCTGGTCTTCAACCTACCAGGATATTACGTAGTCGTCGACATAGTCTATGTATTAACGCAGCTTAGTATACTAACGGAGGGAAGACTTTGCTGGGATTATGCATCGCAGAAATATTCCGTTAAGAAACTGTGTGTGTACATGAGTGGAGAGCTAGGAGGAGTGAGAAGACTTAAAGGCTGTGGTAGAGAAGTCTAATCATCCTTCAGATAACATCATGCAGAGGGGGACGAGCCTGTCATTACACTCTGGTAGATAAGAGTGATTAATACACCGACACAGCCTAGCTCTGTGAGGCTTTTAGTTGGCTGGATGGATGGTCCAGAGGCTGAAGTGGTCGCCTTGAGTCTCTTGTGTTTAGTAACCAGGTGTTTTTGGGGGGTGTTACGATGACCTCTCTGGTCAATACCCTGACAGGTGCTGTCTCCCACTGTTGAATGTGGTCAACATTCTTTCCTGACGTAAGTCAGTTATAATCTTCTAAGATAACTTGAGTCTAAATAAAGGATTGGCGCTCGATTAATTTTGCCCCGAGGGGCGAGATACAGTATTGGGCAGCGTCACTCATCCTGTGAGTGGACACACCGCCATAGTGACAGTATTGGGCAGCGTCACTCATCCTGTGAGTGGACACACCGCCATAGTGACAGTATTGGGCAGCGTCACTCATCCTGTGAGTGGACACACCGCCATAGTGACAGTATTGGGCAGCGTCACTCATCCTGTGAGTGGACACACCGCCATAGTGACAGTATTGGGCAGCGTCACTCATCCTGTGAGTGGACACACCGCCATAGTGACAGTATTGGGCAGCGCCACTCATCCTGTGAGTGGACACACCGCCATAGTGACAGTATTGGGCAGCGTCACTCATCCTGTGAGTGGACACACCGCCAGTGACAGTATTGGGCAGCGTCACTCATCCTGTGAGTGGACACACCGCCATAGTGACAGTATTGAGCAGCGCCACTCATCCTGTGAGTGAACACACCGCCGTAGTGACAGTATTGGGCAGCGTCACTCATCCTGTGAGTGGACACACCGCCGTAGTGACAGTATTGGCCAGCGCCACTCATCCTGTGAGTGGACACACCGCCATAGTGACAGTATTGAGCAGCGTCACTCATCCTGTGAGTGGACACACCGCTATAGTGACAGTATTGGGCAGCGTCACTCATCCTGTGAGTGGACACACCGCCATAGTGACAGTATTGGCCAGCGCCACTCATCCTGTGAGTGGACACACCGCCATAGTGACAGTATTGAGCAGCGTCACTCATCCTGTGAGTGGACACACCGCTATAGTGACAGTATTGGGCAACGTCACTCATCCTGTGAGTGAACACCGCCATAGTGACAGTACTGGCCAGCGCCACTCATCCTGTGAGTGAACACCGCCATAGTGACAGTACTGGCCAGCGCCACTCATCCTGTGAGTGAACACCGCCATAGTGACAGTACTGGCCAGCGTCACTCATCCTGTGAGTGAACAACACTCCACCATAGCAGCATGTACAACACTCCCCAACAGGAAGAAAACCCGCTGGGTTGTCCATCAAGAATAACAATTGAATAAGAGATAATAAGACACAGAGAGAGAGAGAGAGACTGAGCGAGTGGACTGGAGGTGGTAAAGAGTATCTGCTCCTTGACACACTCCCGGCAGAGACCCCCGTCTCATCCATAACATATCGGCGAGGAATTGCCACCTTGTCATTTGCCTCTCGCCGACGACTGGGGGTGATTACTCTCGCGGCTATCATGTTGCCCGGCCCACCAATGTATTTACCATGGGGTGAGGCGCGCACCTATAAAAACACAGCAGGGTGCAAGCGTTGGACTCACAAAAACTCATAAACAATGGGTAATGCTAGGTTTACGCGCGCTCACACACACACACACACACACACACACACACACACACACACACACACACACACACACACACACACACACACACACACACACACACATACACACACACAAGTAACTGTGACAACGTGCCATCGGACAACACAGATTTGCTCTCCTGGCGACAGGAATTTCGCGGTTTTTTTGTTGTTGTTTTCAACGTATGAGGCGATATTTGGCGGCCATGACAGTTGTTTAATGGAAGATGGGGGGGGGGGGGGGTGTGAGTCTCATGGGTGGAACAACTAAACGAGAGCTCGTCATTAACACCAGCGGCGTCTGACGATAAACATAATTACCGCTTCGAGGCTCCAATCACCGCGATTGTCTTGAGTTTGGTTAGTCCCGACCTGGCAGGTCTCGCTGTAGCGGCGACCTGGCAGGTCTCGCTGTAGCGGCGACCTGGCAGGTCTCGCAGTAGCGGCGACCTGGCAGGTCTCGCTGTAGCGGCGACCTGGCAGGTCTCGCTGTAGCGGCGACCTGGCAGGTCTCGCTGTAGCGGCGACCTGGCAGGTCTCGCTGTAGCGGTGACCTGGCAGGTCTCGCTGTAGCGGTGAGTGACCTGGCAGGTCTCGCTGTAGCGGTGAGTGACCTGGCAGGTCTCGCTGTAGCGGTGACCTGGCAGGTCTCGCTGTAGCGGCGACCTGGCAGGTCTCGCTGTAGCGGTGACCTGGCAGGTCTCGCTGTAGCGGCGACCTGGCAGGTCTCGCTGTAGCGGCGACCTGGCAGGTCTCGCTGTAGCGGCGACCTGGCAGGTCTCGCTGTAGCGGTGAGTGACCTGGCAGGTCTCGCTGTAGCGGTGACCTGGCAGGTCTCGCTGTAGCGGCGACCTGGCAGGTCTCGCTGTAGCGGTGACCTGGCAGGTCTCGCTGTAGCGGCGACCTGGTAGGTCTCGCTGTAGCGGTGACCTGGTAGGTCTCACTGTAGCGTCGGTCAGTGGCTGGGGGTGCATCGCTGTCTCTCGAAAGTTGCAGTTCAAAAACCTTGTTTATATCTTAAGTCTACCGATCTTCTCTATTTCTTCGGTTCTTCTTCACTTGGGAAGTTGAAGTCCCAAGTCTTCACTTGGGAAGTTGAAGTCCCAAGTCTTCACTTGGGAAGTTGAAGTCCCAAGTCTTCACTTGGGAAGTTGAAGTCCCAAGTCTTCACTTGGGAAGTTGAAGTCCCAAGTCTTCACTTGGGAAGTTGAAGTCCCAAGTCTTCACTTGGGAAGTTGAAGTCCCAAGTCTTCACTTGGGAAGTTGAAGTCCCAAGTCTTCACTTGGGAAGGTGAAAAACTAACTCTTCAAGCTTCCTGTTACACTTTTGATACATTTCGCAAAGTTCAACTTAACGTCTTCAGAAGTAGAGGGGAAAGTTAATCCAAAAGCAACGAAATAGCATTATTATTTTAGCTGACGACCAGTGTTCTATGAGAGGTGGTCACCTCTGAGAGGACAGGGGTAATCTGATCTTCCATCCAGAGTGGTGGGAGGGCCAGGTGGACTTGTCGGCCACACACACCAAAGGTGTATCTCCCGTGGTGTGGATAGAAAGATATATCTTGATATAAGCTGACTCTTGATAAGTGGATGTGTGTGGACGATATAAAGTGATTCTGTTATGTTTCAGATTTAGTGGTATTCACGTGGCGAACCTTACATATAACGACAGCTATCTTCTTGAGGATATCTTGAGATGATTTCGAAGCTTAGTGTCCCGGCGGCCCGGTCCTCGACCAGGCATCCACCTCCAGGAAGCAGCCCGTGACAGCTGACTAACACCCAGGTACCTATTTTACTGCTAGGTAACAGGGGCATCAGGGTAAAAGAAACTCTGCCCATTGTTTCTCTCCGGCGCCCGGGATCGAGCCCGGGACCACAGGATCACGCGTCCAGTGTTCTGTTCGCTTAGCCACCGGCTCCCATCCCCTTGAACTACATCACAATTACACGTCAACGCTTTACACAAAAATACACTATTTGAATGAATGAAATTATTTGTTATCTCGTATACTTGACACGAGATCGGAAGTAAAATTTACCTGATTGCGTTTATCAGTACTGTATGTGAGTCATGCCTTCACTGTGGCGTGCTGGGCCCTACACGTGCGTCATGTCGCCAGGGTGACATGACAGGTTTTCACTTCTCTACATATGTATGCATACAAAAAAACACGAATTGTATGATGAATGAATTATACAACAAAGCACAAAAAAATGAAATAAAATCAAAACACAAGGAGAAATTAAGACAAGTGTGTATGCGCTTTCGTGTTCAACACAGCATGCTGAAGCGACTTATACGAGTCATAAATACTCACACTCCGCCTAAGTAAAACAGAAATAAGTAACACTTAGTGGGCTAGCCAGAGGCTTAGGGCCCGCGCAGGAATATCCCTACAAAACAATAAAATAAAAATAAAACAGCATGGTGTGAAATGTTAAGCAGCATTTTATAAATAAAATAAAATAAATAAAAATAAAAATAAATAAAAAATAAAAATAAATAAAATAAAATAAATTTTCTTGAATTTGACAAAGAATGAAAGCCACTAGTACCCAGTGGCTTGTTCCTACCATATCACAGTGGATCTTCCTTCCGCTACTTTGGCTTTGTGGCGACTTTTGATAGTTAGGAGTATTTTCTTCTTGATTTGCTCCTTAATCTGTGAAAAACTTGGAGTAGTGTGAACGACAGGTAGAGCAGTGTTTTTTTTGCCAGTAAGTCTGCCTTTTCATCATCTATGCTAATGTGACTTGGTATCCAATTTAGGGTGATTGACAGCCCTAGATTGTGTGCTAGGTTTCCTATATGTTGGATTTGTGTGATGAGTTGTATATTATCTCTGTGCTGGCTGGATAACAATGCCTGGAGCGAAG